TATATATATATATATATATATATATATATATATATATATATATATATATATATATACACTTTTATTTTATGCAATTTTTGGCATTTTTATTTGTGCAAGTCATGGCACAAGAAAGCACTAAAAACATATATTTAATTTTTTCAAATGACATGATCTTAATGGCAACTGCTTCACTGCAAAATAATGCATCTTCATTAATAAACTATTCTATTCTAACCTATACACTCAACGGCCACTTTATTAGGTACAACTGTCCACCTGCTCGTTAACGCATTCCTAATTAGCCAATCACATCTTTATGCATTTAGGCATGTAGACATGGTCAAGACGATCTACTGCAGTTCAAACAGTTCAGCATCAGTATGGGGAAGAAAGGTGATTTAAGTTAACGTGGCATGGTTGTTGGTGCCAGATGGGACTGCTGATCAACTGCGATTCAAGTATTGTTGCTGACCATGTCCATCCCTTTATGAGCACAGTGTCTCCATCTTCTGATGGCTACTTCCAGCAGGATAACGCACCATGTCATAAAGCGTGAATCATCTCAGACTGGTTTCTCAAACATGACAATGAGTTCACTGTACTCAAATGGCCTCCTCAGTCATCAGATCTCAATCCAATAGAGCCCCTTTGGAATGTGGTGGAACGGGTGATTGGCATCATGGATGTGCAGCTGACAAATCTGCTGCAACTGTGTGATGCTATCATGTCAATATGAAGTAAAATCTCGGAGGAATATTTCCAGTACCTTGTTGAATCTCTGCCACGAAGGATTAAAGCAGTTCTGAATGCAAAAGCGGGTCCAACCCGGTACTAGTAAGGTGTACCTAATAAAGTGGCCGGTATGTGTGTCTTTGTGTGTGTGTGTATATATATATATATATAAAATCTAAACTAAACTATATATAATACAACTGAAGAGTGAACCTCTCTCACACTAAGCAAAATCACTGAAATGTAAAGCAATTAGCTGACCTCCTACACTTCTATCTCAGTGATGTGCTTACGAAATCAATTGAATGCCCTGCACAACCCAGGGTCAGTGCAGAAATGTAAAGAAACCTTTTTTTTTTGGCTGACATTGCTGCTTATACTGCAGGTCAACAAATATAAAATGCGCAACCTTTGATTTTATTAGCTAACACACACACAGAGACATATATATATATATATATATATATATATATATATATATATATATATATATATATATATATATACTCTTACTCTGTAAATATCAGCAGCATGTCTGTGTTTGTGGTTGTCGTCAGTGTGACTCTTGTCCCCAGCAGAACTGGAGCACAGGGTGGGGTTTTGGTCTGATTGACAGTGATGATGTCAAAGCTATGAGCTCAGCCTGCAAACCGTGAGCTCCTGCAGCGCAGAACGGAAAATTACAGACCCTTCCCCCACTGCACTTCCTCTCTCTCACTCTCTCTCTCTGTATTCCTCCCTCTACCTTTTTAACCTATCTCTCCTTTCTGAACACCCCCACTCTCCTCTCTTTCTCTATCCCTCTTTTTCAGTCTCCCATCCCCCTCTCGTTCTCCCACACAGGGAACACGCATCAGCTTAGAGGGAGAATCTCAGCCGGCGCAGAGACAATAATAGAGCTCAATTCTGCTTTGTGTGATTCTGCTCAGCACAACACTGCCCAAATCTGCAGGACTATATTTGTATATTTGTAATTTGTAATAAATATAGATATAAAAAAAATATAATAAATATATTCTAAGATATAAAATCAAATGTTCAAGTCAAAACTATGTCATATAAAATGTCAGATTTGGTGCATCCATTGAAGTATACTATAATATGCTCTAATTCATATAGTAAATCATAATGTATGACACAAAATGCCCACACTTTTTCTTATGAAGGGCCAAAAACTAAACTTGACTAAGGCTAGTGGGCCGAAGGTAAATAGGAGGGACCATTTACCATTGGCAATTACCTAATTTATTTAATAATGTTTAAAAATGACTAGAAAACATTGCTTTATATTAACTAATACAGTATTTGTTTACATTCTACAAAGAACTTATCACAGTAAAAACAAAACAATCTGATTTAAAACAGAATTACACTAGCTTTCTGCCTTGATTAGCTTGCCGTTGTCTTCTGCATAGTCCTCTATCAGTCAAACGACAGTATTTACATTTTTAAACAATCTGTTTTATATACATTTGATTTTTTAATATCAGAGCCTTTTTTATAACTCATCAATAAAACAAACAAAAATGGTTACGTCAAATTAGAAATGATGATCTCTGTATTAAAGGCCATACTCACTGTCTCACTGCAAAAAAACACTTTTCTTGCTTCAATTTTTTGTCTTGTTTCTAGTCTAAATATCTAAAATATCTCCAATTTGTATATATTTGGACTAGAAACAAGACAAAAAATCTATAAGAAAAGCACTTTTTGCAGTGCTCTCAGATGGGATGGTAGGCAAAATCTAAGGTTACAATGGGCCAACTTTAGCCCACGGGCCCTACTTTGGGTGTCTCTGGTATAAAAAGTATAATATAAAATAGAGCTGAGCCAAAAAAAATAAATAAATAAATCACAAAACCAGTCATCTCATATCCTGATAATGATATATAATCACAATAAAGCACCACTTCCTTACATCCAAACAATTAGTAGTTAATATATATTGCCAATATGTAAAGGACTTTTTTTTTTTTTTAATTTTATCTACTTTGAAGTAGAGATGAAGACAGAATTATTCGCCCCTTTTGATTTTTTTTTCTTTATTTTTTAACATTTGCCAAATGATGTTTAACAGATTCAGGAAATTTTCACAGTATGTGTGATAAGGTTTTTTCTTCTGGAGAAAGTCTTATTTGGTTTGTTTCGGTTTAAATAAAAGCAGTTTTTAATTTTTTAATACCCATTTTAGGGTCAAAATTATTAGCCTCTTAAAGCAATTTCTTTTTTTCTTTTTTTTTTGATTGTCTACAAAACAAACCACCGTTATACAATAACTTGCCTTTTTAATCAATCCTGCCTTATTAACCTAGTGAAGCCTTTAAATGTCACTTTAAGCTGTAAAGAAGTGTCTAGAAAAACATCTAGTCAAATATTATGTACTGTCATCATGGCAAAGATAACTAGAAATGACTAGAAATGAGTTATTAAAACTATTATGTTTGGAAATCTTCTCTCCGTTAAACAGAAATTGGAGAAAAAAATAACAGGGGAGCTAATAACTCTGACTTCATCTTTAAATAATCATAAATGTTCTCATAAACATGTCATTACATTACTTACTTTTTCAACTTCAGGGCAAATTATTGATTAAAAATGAAAATATATAAATTTAATATGAATAAAATATAAAATACTTTTGTAAATTAATGATTACAGAAATAAAAATAGAGTTATTTTAAAATAAGTCAAATGCAAATTGTAAAGATAGTATTTTCAAGACTGCAACTTTCTCACGATTCTGTTATTTATGTTTCTTTTTGCACCCCTGTAATGGCAAGTAACATTGCGCTCATATAAAAAAGTAAAAAAGTACTATCATAAGCCATGTATTTTGTGACACCACAAGCTAAACGACAGAGCATAATATGAAATAGTAGACTTTTTATTTTGTCCATATACACTGAAAAAAAAAATCAAATATGATTCCTTGGATTTACTCAATTTTTTTTTTTTTTTTTTTTTTTTTTTACGTTAAGTGGTTGTAAACTATTTATTTGGGCTGAATTTAAACAATCAAATTAAGTTGATTATTCAAATAACCACCAAATTGAAATTATTCAATTTAAATTGTTTGTTTAAATTCAACACAAATAAATTATTTGCAACAGTTCTGCATGCACCACTTTTTTTCTATGTAATTTATACCATCATGTTGCACAGACCTAATATAAATCATCGTTTTTATTCTTGTGGAGCACACGTCAGCTCAGATGGTTTATTAAATGCTAAGAAACTGTTAAGTTGGTTATATACTTATGATGATCATAACGATTGGATTTAGATGTGTTCTTATGCATATATCTGAAGCAAACAAAAATACAGAGCAGGGATAAACGCAACAAAATCAACCCAAAATCACAGAGAGAGTTGAACAGAAGCATCCAAATGCCCATTTACAACAAGAAACTATGTGACACATAAAAAAATAATTTAATTAAGAACAAGCAAGACTTAGATAGGGATTTAAGGATAGTACTTCGCCAAATTACAGACTGAAGTTTTGATTTTTAATGCTCTCATCCTGCTAAAAGACTTCGGCAGCATCAGAACGTGTGTGTGTGTGCGTGTGGACTGCAGCTTAACTAATGATAATCTGCTGATTTCTGCTTACAGAATGAATTTATATGACACTTCCACTGGGGAACACCTTTCTTAGGAAAGAGAAAAAGGCTCAGTGGGAACAACATTATATATATAAAACAATTGCACCACCGGAAATTAGTATTGCCTATATGACAAGAAAACAGAAAGATAAATGATGAGAAATAAAACGAAGAAAAGGCCTGCGTTCAGTGTGACAGCATTAGCAAAACTAGGCCTGCAGCTCTCTTTCTTTTATCCTGTTTGTGTGCCAGAGATCTGCTGAGGGGAACACGAAAGCCGGGCATGGCCTCTTTAACCAACATGACACAGACAGAGATGAATCTGCATCACGTGGACGCTGTCTGACTCATGTTCAAACCAACATTTATGGTAATCCCTGCACAATACAAGAGGCCAAATGATGTGAAAACAAATCAAAATACACACAAGCCAAATATAAAATTTGGTATTTAATGAGGCACGATAGATAGTGTTTAAATCAGCACACATAATGAAACTACGCACAGCCTCAAGCTCATGTTGGTGCTTCAGCACCATGGAGAGCTCTAGCAATGTGAAATACAAATGCACCAGGATTGAGGTATCAGTGGCTCAATACAGGACTGTGTGTTCTCTTTTGCTTAGAAATATATACTTCTGAACCAAATTTAACCAGAGAAATAGCTGGCCCAAAGGCTTACCTTCTCTTTATTAGGCAGTGTTTGTGTTCTGGTGAACGTGTCTCCTCCATTAATACTGATCAGTTCTGCATCTGCAGGCGGAAATGGCGCGGGGAAAACCACTACGTCACTCTTCAGTGTGTCTGAGCTAAAACACACGTCATACTGCTGAGTAGATTTGGAGTAAGACCAGCTCCCGTCAGGGTGTGTGGTGATCATCGGGGCGCTGTACCTGCCCAAACTGCTGTCTGTCCTGTGGCATTTCACAGCTATCAAACTGATGAGGCTCAGTAAAAAGATGACGGACACACTCACAATGGCGATCAGCAAATACAGATTTAAATCCGAGAAACTCTCCTCCTTTACCGGCGCATGTCTGAATGGAGTCTTGACGTCACCTCCGCTTTCAACAACCACAGCATCAATAGACACAGTCGCTGACAGTGAGGGCTCTCCGTTATCACAAACCAAAATGACCAGCGGGTGAGTTTTCAGGTCATTGTCACTCATTCTCCTCTTAGTCCTGATCTCCCCGCTGCTGGTTCCGATTCGGAACAGATTGTTTCCTTTGGGCTCAGAGATGTGGTAGGACAACAGCGCGTTGTAACCAGAATCTGCATCTACAGCCCTGATCTTGGCCACAAAGTAGCCCGCCTCAGCAGAATAGGGAATGTTCTCGGTGTTAACGGAACCGAGCTCGGAATAGGGCGCGAGAATCGCGGGACTGTTGTCATTCTCATCCAGGACAAACACATTTACAGTCACGTTACTGCTGAGCGGAGGAACACCAGAGTCTGTGGCCTGAACTTTAAACTCAAATGTTTTGATCTCCTCATAGTTAAACGACTGTAAACTGTGCAGATCTCCAGTGTCGGAGTTTATAGTAATAGCAGAATATGTGCTTCCAGATTTGTGAAGCGGTTCCAATAATCCATAAGTGATTTTGGAATTTTCATTTAAATCTGGATCAACAGCTGAAAGAGTGTAAATGATTTGGTCCATAGGACCATTTTCTTTCACAAACACATTAATGACAGGATTTGGAAAACTTGGAGGATTGTCATTAACATCAGATACATACACAGTAAAAACCCTAGTGGCAGAAAGAGGTGGAGCACCTTCATCCGACGCCATGATTGTGACATTATATCGATCAACACGCTCTCTATCAAGTGGTTCATCCACTACAAGAGAATAATAATTCTTATATGACGACTGTAATTTAAAAGGAACATCTCCAACCACTTTCCCATGCACATTCCCATTTTTCCCCGAGTCTTTATCAGATATCGTTATCAGAGCCACCGTTGTTTCTCTTTTAGCATCCTCTCTTACTGTGTTCACTTGTGAAGTTAAAGATATTTCAGGCTCGTTGTCGTTCACATCTAAAACCTCTACTAATATTTTACAGTGCGCAGACCGCGGGCTCGCTCCTTTGTCTTTAGCCTGAGCATGAATCTCATAAGCATTACGTTCTTCAAAATCCACCCTCCCCTGCATAGAAACCACGCCGGTAGCGGAATCAATTTTAAAAACACTACTTGCTTTATCATCGCTGTCTTGCTGAACTAAAGAGTAAATAATTTCACTATTTAGGCCTTCATCTAAATCAGTGGCGTTCAGGTTGATGACTAGTGTTCCCAATGGTGCGTTTTCAACAATGCGCACTTTGTAAAGAGCTTTGCCGAACACGGGTGCGTTGTCATTCACATCTTGCACATGTATTGCTATCTGCATTGTACCTGATTTGGGAGGTTTTCCTCCATCTACAGCAGTCAAAGTGAGGTGGATTGCTGGCTGTTTTTCTCGATCTAAAGCTTTCTGCAGCACTAATTCAGCAGAAGCACTTTGCTCTCCTCCGCTTTGTACATCCAGAGAGAAATGCTCGTTCGGGCTCAGTTTGTAGCTTTTTACTGAGTTCGCTCCGACATCTGGGTCCGACGCTCTCGGCAGCTGAAATCTATCTCCAATAAATGCATATTCGGATACGTTAATATGCATAGACCTAACACGAAACGAGGGAGAATTATCATTTATATCTACAATGTTTATTTCAATGCGAAACAGGTTTAATGGATTATTAACAATGGCTTCTAAATTCACCGAACATTGCGGAGAAGCAGGGCAAAACGCCTCCCTGTCGATCCTCTCGCTGACGAACAGAACACCCGTTTTCAAATTAACCTCGAAATATTTTCTTCCCGAAACTGCAGGGATGTGAAATCCACGCGATTCCAGTTCTTGGATGTTTAAATTAAGATCCTTTGCGATATTTCCGACAAATGTCCCAGTGTTCGCCTCCTCTGAAATGGAATATGCGACCTGGGCTGAAGCTGAAGGCATCAAGAGCAGCAAAACCAAACAAATAACGATCCCGCTCATAACAATTATATGAGCCATTATGCTGATGATTTTTGGACACCGCCAGAAATAAGTTCCAATAGTTAGTTATATTCCAGTATATGCCATGTCTTTATATGCATACCGCCACCACGAAGGAACAGAACAAAGCGCATGAGCGCGCGCTAAAGAGATAAGGAGGAGCCAGCGGGCGCGCGCAAAACGCTGCAAAACACTGCTGTACTGACACCAAGAGGCTTTTCATGAAAGAACCAGTTTTTATATTAATATTACTGTACAAAATGTGAGAATAGTCAATAATTGTTCGTCTTTTTAATATTTGGTGGTAAAAGGGACATAAGAAAATTATTAAAATAAATCTATGTCATGTCTTACCTTTTCTTTATTAGGCAGTGTTTGTGTTCTGGTGAAAGTGTCTCCCCCATTAATACTGATCAGTTCTGCATCTGCAGGCGGAAATGGCGCGGGGAAAACCACTACGTCACTCTTCAGTGTGTCTGAGCTAAAACACACGTCATACTGCTGAGTAGATTTGGAGTAAGACCAGCTCCCGTCAGGGTGTGTGGTGATAATCGGGGCGCTGTACCTGCCCAAACTGCTGTCTGTCCTGTGGCATTTCACAGCTATCAAACTGATGAGGCTCAGTAAAAAGATGACGGACACACTCACAATGGCGATCAGCAAATACAGATTTAAATCCGAGAAACTCTCCTCCTTTACCGGCGCATGTCTGAATGGAGTCTTGACGTCACCTCCGCTTTCAACAACCACAGCATCAATAGACACAGTCGCTGACAGTGAGGGCTCTCCGTTATCACAAACCAAAATGACCAGCGGGTGAGTTTTCAGGTCATTGTCACTCATTCTCCTCTTAGTCCTGATCTCTCCGCTGCTGGTTCCGATTCGGAACAGATTGTTTCCTTTGGGCTCAGAGATGTGGTAGGACAACAGCGCGTTGTAACCAGAATCTGCATCTACAGCCCTGATCTTGGCCACAAAGTAGCCCGCCTCAGCAGAATACGGAATGTTCTCGGTGTTAACGGAACCGAGCTCGGAATAGGGCGCGAGAATCGCGGGACTGTTGTCATTCTCATCCAGGACAAACACATTTACAGTCACGTTACTGCTGAGCGGAGGAACACCAGAGTCTGTGGCCTGAACTTTAAACTCAAATGTTTTGATCTCCTCATAGTTAAACGACTGTAAACTGTGCAGATCTCCAGTGTCAGAGTTGATGTTGATCATGGATGTTACCGGGCCGCTTTTAGAGCTTTCTAGTAAAGAATATGTTATTCTGGCATTATCACCTACATCAGGATCAACAGCAGATACTGTATGAAGAACAGCTCCAATCTGACTGTTCTCTTTCACATACACATTAATGACGGGCTCTGGAAAGCGCGGCGCGTTGTCATTGACATCAGAAACGTGTACAGCAATGACACTTGTACTAGAGAGAGGCGGAGACCCTTCATCAGCAGCGCTGATTGTCACATTATACTCAGACGCGCGCTCTCTGTCTAGAGGCCCGTTCACCACTAAAGTATAATAATTCTTGTACGAGTTCTGAACTTTAAAAGGAACAGAGCCCTCAATATTTAGGGTCACCTGTCCGTTTTTACCAGCATCATTATCGGTTACAGTTATCATTCCAACCATTGTGCCAATCGGAGCATCTTCCTTAACAGTGCTCACTAAAGACGTCACGGATATCACTGGTATGTTGTCATTGACATCTACGACTTCAACTAATACTTTACAGTGTGCTGCTTTCGGATTATAACCTTTATCTTTTGCCTGTATTCGAAGTTCAATTGCATTCCTCTGTTCGAAATCAACATCTTTTTGTACTGTAATCTCACCAGTTACTGAGTTAATCGAGAATGCGTCGACATTTTTGTCATTGTTGGGATTTATTATTGAATAAATTATTTCACCGTTCACACCCTCGTCTAAATCAACAGCTTTAACCGTAATTACATGGGTACCACGTGCAGCATTCTCAGTTACTTTGGATTTATACAAAGACTTGCTGAAAACAGGAGTATTGTCATTAATATCCAGAACATTAACAATAATCTCTATTGAACCTGATTTAGGAGGTTTTCCTCCGTCTACAGCGGTCAGTGTGAGCTGGATCACCGCCTGTTTTTCTCGATCTAAAGCTTTCTGCAGCACTAATTCAGCAGACACACTCTGATCTCCTCCGCCCTGAACATCTAGAGAAAAGTGTTCATTTTGACTGAGCTTGTAGCTCTTTAAGGAGTTACTGCCCACATCTGCATCAAACGCGCCTTGTAATGGAAATCTTTCTCCTGGAAAAGTCAATTCGCTGATATTTAAATGTGTTACTGATGTCCGAAATGCAGGTGCGTTATCATTAATGTCAACAACATTTACTTCAAATCTGAAAACATTCAATGGGGAGCTAATCATGGCTTCTAATGGCAGAGAACATTTAATATTCTGCTCGCAAATCTCTTCTCTATCAATCCTCTCCTTAACATGGAGAATTCCAGTTTTTTTATTTACATCAAAATACCTCTCGTTTGGTCCCCGAACTATATGAAAGCCTCGTGCCTCAAGGTCCTGAATATTCAGGTTAAAATCCTTCACCAAATTCCCAACTGTAGTGCCCGGGTTTGCTTCCTCCGAGACGGTATAGACAAACTGTCCGCCCGCTATATTCCAAAGCCGACACAGAAAGCACAGAGAAAGCCACAGCCGAAAATTTGATTGCCATGTGGATTCCATTGTCTCGAAATCTTGTGGATGTCACAAAATCATACAAATCTGTGGGCATAGTCGCTAAAAAATAACCCGAGACCACGTTCTACATCGGCTAGCCTTCCTGACACAATGGCGAATTCTGAACAAAGCCTCTCTGCTCGGGAGGCAAAATGAGGCGGAGCTTATAGTGGAGCCATGCAAATGCTAGTGTAAAATGGAAGGCTACTGACATCGTGCGGATTACTGCAAACTCTGCTCTTTATACTAAAATAATAAAGCAAAAAAAAAAAAAAAAAAAAAATATATATATATATATATATATATATATATATATATATATATATATATATATATATATATATATATATGTCTGTATATATATATATATATATATATATATATATATATATATATATATATGTGTGTGTGTGTGTGTGTGTGTATGTATGTATGTATGTATGTGTGTGTGTTTAATCGAGTTATCAAAAATGTTCATATAGCAAAATATCCAGTTTATTCTAGGTGTTCGTGGCACTAAAAACATGCATACACAACAAAATAATACATTAACTAAAAAAAAAAAAGAAAAAAGAAGAAGAAATGAAGTTACAAGTGCGTATAATTCCTGACTGAGGGATATATTCTTAACTGTGAGAAGATGCCAGATGAAAGACCAGTGAGTTTTTGAACATTTGCTGGTTCAGCACCATGGACAGAGTTTAGATATTAGTTTCAAAAGTATTTTTTTCGTTTGTTTTAAATTATTGAAAGCGTCACAAATATGTACCCAAAAATGAATAAAAACATAATAGTTTGTAGTTTTCAACTCTATTCTAATTATATTCAGCCTTTTAAAAAACAAACATAAGAACATTTTTGATCACTTTAAACAAAACTCTCTTACCTTCTCTTTATTAGGCAGTGTTTGTGTTCTGGTGAAAGTGTCTCCTCCATTAATACTGATCAGTTCTGCATCTGCAGGCGGAAATGGCGCGGGGAAAACCACTACGTCACTCTTTAGTGTGTCTGAGCTAAAACACACGTCATACTGCTGAGTAGATTTGGAGTAAGACCAGCTCCCGTCAGGGTGTGTGGTGATCATCGGGGCGCTGTACCTGCCCAAACTGCTGTCTGTCCTGTGGCATTTCACAGCTATCAAACCGATGAGGCTCAGTAAAAAGATGACGGACACACTCACAATGGCGATCAGCAAATACAGATTTAAATCCGAGAAACTCTCCTCCTTTACCGGCGCATGTCTGAATGGAGTCTTGACGTCACCTCCGCTTTCAACAACCACAGCATCAATAGACACAGTCGCTGACAGTGAGGGCTCTCCGTTATCACAAACCAAAACGACCAGAGGGTGAGTTTTCAGGTCATTGTCACTCATTCTCCTCTTAGTCCTGATCTCCCCGCTGCTGGTTCCGATTCGGAACAGATTGTTTCCTTTGGGCTCAGAGATGTGGTAGGACAACAGCGCGTTGTAACCGGAATCTGCATCTACAGCCCTGATCTTGGCCACAAAGTAGCCCGCCTCAGCAGAATAGGGAATGTTCTCGGTGTTAACGGAACCGAGCTCGGAATAGGGCGCGAGAATCGCGGGACTGTTGTCATTCTCATCCAGGACAAACACATTTACAGTCACGTTACTGCTGAGCGGAGGAACACCAGAGTCTGTGGCCTGAACTTTAAACTCAAATGTTTTGATCTCCTCATAGTTAAACGACTGTAAACTGTGCAGATCTCCAGTGTCAGAGTTGATGTTGATCATGGATGTTACCGGGCCGCTTTTAGAGCTTTCTAGTAAAGAATATGTTATTCTGGCATTATCACCTACATCAGGATCAACAGCAGATACTGTATGAAGAACAGCTCCAATCTGACTGTTCTCTTTCACATACACATTAATGACGGGCTCTGGAAAGCGCGGCGCGTTGTCATTGACATCAGAAACGTGTACAGCAATGACACTGGTACTAGAGAGAGGCGGAGTCCCTTCATCAGCAGCGCTGATTGTCACATTATACTCAGACGCGCGCTCTCTGTCTAAAGGCCCGTTAACAAATAAAGTATAATAATTTTTGTAAGAGTTCTGAACTTTAAAAGGAGAAGAGCCCTGAATATTTAGGATTACCTGTCCGTTTTTACCAGCATCATTATCAGTTACAGTTATCATTCCAACCACTGTGTCAATCAAAGCATCCTCTTTTACAGTGTTAACCAAAGATGTAACAGAGATTTCAGGAACATTATCATTTACATCAATAATTTCCAGTAGAACTTTACAAAGGGCCGCTCTGGGTTTATGCCCTTTATCTTTTGCCTGTACTCGGAGCTCCACTGCATTTTTTCGTTCATAATCTACATCCCCTTTCACTGTAATTTCCCCAGTTTCAGGATTTATTGCAAATGATTCGACGTTTCTATCATTATCGTGATTAACTAAAGCATAAACAATCTGACCATTCACACCCTCATCTGGATCGCTAGCCTGTACTGTAATAATGGAAGTACCAGGAGGCGCGTTTTCATTCACGCGGGCTTTATACAGTGATTTGCTGAAAACGGGAATGTTATCGTTGACGTCTTCAACATGTACTGTTATCTGCATTGTTCCTGATCTTAGAGGTTTCCCTCCATCTACAGCAGTCAATGTAAGACGAATTAAAGGCTGTTTTTCTCGATCTAAAGCTTTTTGCAGCACTAATTCAGCAGACACACTCTGTTCTCCTCCGCTTTGGACATCCAGAGAGAAATGTTCATTAGGACTGAGCTTGTAGCTCTTCACCGAATTAATGCCCACATCTGCGTCAAACGCGCTCGGCAGAGCGAACTGCTCTCCTGGTAAGGCTGATTCTGATATGTTAATGGTTGTCTTTGGCGTACGGAATTTCGGCGGATTATCATTAATATCCAAAACGTTTATCTCAAATCGAAATACATTCAAAGGCGAATTAACAATCGCTTCAAGAGGTAAAGAACACTTAATCTTCTGCTCACACAGCTCTTCTCGGTCTATTCTCTCTTTAACGTGAAGTACACCGGTCTTAAAATTAAAATCGAAATACCTCTTATTGCTCTCGGACACGATTTGAAATCCACGCCTTTCAATGTCCTGTACATTTAAGTTAAAATCCTTAGCTAAATTCCCGACTGCGGTGCCTGGATTTGCTTCCTCCGATATGGAATACACAATCTGACCATTTGTGAAAATCCAACAGCAAAGAAAGACGCTGAAAAATATCCAGGACCTCAAAACATGTGTCCGTGTTAAAGCCATTTTAACAAACCCTTTCCATGAATGCTAAAACACCGAAATCTTCCTGCATATCCGTGAAACGACTTCTGGTAAATCCACGAGTGAAATGCATGCGGAGACAATGGCGAACGACTAACAAAGCCCTTATCCAGGAAGAGCGAAAGAGGGAAATAGGAGGAGCTTCACCATGTCACGAATGCTCACAAAACAGGCAGATACTGACATCGCGCGGAGAGTTTTATACATCACATCAGCAAAGAAAAAAGCAAGACTTCTGTTTTTTATAAATCCTGCAAATTCAATTAATCAAACGAACAAATGTGTGCAAAAAATGTGTTTTTTCTTAATAACACTTGCACTGCATACAACCAATTAAACATGATATATATATATATATATATATATATATATATATATATATATATATATATATATATATATATATATATATATATATATATACACATATAGTCCATTAAACACACTTTAGATAGCATTTCAGCACCAAGGACAGTGGTCGCAGTCTAGTCCGTTTACATGAAAACGCTTTGAAGGTGAAGCGTGTCAAACCTCTTGCATTATCACACAGCATTTTTTCTAGGTAATGTTCTTGAATTTTCCAACATTATACCTGTATTAAATACTAGGCTACAAATTTTTAAGATTTAAATATCTGATGTCTTGACGGAGTAACGCATTCCAGCTCAAAGCAGGACAAGGTTAAATCAAAAGTGAGCAAAATAGATGTTAACTTATCCTACCTTCTCTTTATTAGGCAGTGTTTGTGTTCTGGTGAACGTGTCTCCTCCATTAATACTGATCAGTTCTGCATCTGCAGGCGGAAATGGCGCGGGGAAAACCACTACGTCACTCTTCAGTGTGTCTGAGCTAAAACACACGTCATACTGCTGAGTAGATTTGGAGTAAGACCAGCTCCCGTCAGGGTGTGTGGTGATCATCGGGGCGCTGTACCTGCCCAAACTGCTGTCTGTCCTGTGGCATTTCACAGCTATCAAACTGATGAGGCTCAGTAAAAAGATGACGGACACACTCACAATGGCGATCAGCAAATACAGATTTAAATCCGAGAAACTCTCCTCCTTTACCGGCGCATGTCTGAATGGAGTCTTGACGTCACCTCCGCTTTCAACAACCACAGCATCAATAGACACAGTCGCTGACAGTGAGGGCTCTCCGTTATCACAAACCAAAATGACCAGCGGGTGAGTTTTCAGGTCATTGTCACTCATTCTCCTCTTAGTCCTGATCTCCCCGCTGCTGGTTCCGATTCGGAACAGATTGTTTCCTTTGGGCTCAGAGATGTGGTAGGACAACAGCGCGTTGTAACCGGAATCTGCATCTACAGCCCTGATCTTGGCCACAAAGTAGCCCGCCTCAGCAGAATAGGGAATGTTCTCGGTGTTAACGGAACCGAGCTCGGAATAGGGCGCGAGAATCGCGGGACTGTTGTCATTCTCATCCAGGACAAACACATTTACAGTCACGTTACTGCTGAGCGGAGGAACACCAGAGTCTGTGGCCTGAACTTTAAACTCAAATGTTTTGATCTCCTCATAGTTAAACGACTGTAAACTGTGCAGATCTCCAGTGTCGGAGTTGATGTTGATCATGGATGTTACCGGGCCGCTTTTAGAGCTTTCTAGTAAAGAATATGTTATTCTGGCATTATCACCTACATCAGGATCAACAGCAGATACTGTATGAAGAACAGCTCCAATCTGACTGTTCTCTTTCACATACACATTAATGACGGGCTCTGGAAAGCGCGGCGCGTTGTCATTGACATCAGAAACGTGAACAGCAATGACACTGGTACTAGAGAGAGGCGGAGTCCCTTCATCAGCAGCGCTGATTGTCACATTATACTCAGACGCAGTTTCTCGATCTAAATGTCCGTTTACAATTAAAGTATAATAATTCTTGTATGAGTTCTGAACTTTGAATGGCAATGAATCTCTAATCTTAAGCTGAATTTCACCGTTTTTGCCAGCATCATTATCTAATACAGTTATCATGCTAACCACTGTGCCATTAGCTGCGTCCTCCTTAACTGTATTTACTAAAGAGGTAACAGAAATTTCCGGAGTATTGTCATTTATATCAGTTATCTCCACCAGCACTTTGCAGTACGCGGCTCGTGGTTTATGGCCTTTGTCTTTAGCTTGCACTCTAATTTCAACAGCAGCGTTTTTTTCATAGTCTACAGTGCCTTTCACTGTTATAACACCGGTTTCAGGATCTATTGCGAATGCATCTGCGTTATTTTCATTATCTTGACTCAGTAATGAATACACTATTTCACTATTTGGTCCCTCGTCTGGATCACTGGCGTGAACTTGGATCACTGAGGTGCCAAACGGTGAATTTTCTACTACTCGAGTTTTGAATAGAGGCTTACTGAAAACAGGAATATTATCATTCACATCCTCAATATTGACGATTATATTTATTGTTCCTGATCTTGGAGGTTTTCCTCCGTCTACAGCGGTCAGTGTGAGCTTGATCACCGGCTGTTTTTCTCGATCTAAAGCTTTCTGCAGCACTAATTCAGCAGACACACTCTGCTCTCCTCCGCTCTGTACGTCCAGAGAAAAGTGCTCATTCGCACTCAGTTTGTAGCTCTTGACTGAATTGCTGCCCACATCCGCGTCAAACGCCGTCGGTAATGGAAATCTTTCCCCAGGAAATGCAGACTCTGATATATTAAAATACTTCACAGGGGAACGAAATGTAGGTGAGTTATCATTAATATCTATAATGCTTACTTCAAAGCGGTAAACGTTTAATGGCGCATTAACAATAGCCTCCAACGGGAAAGAACATTTTAAGCTCCTTCCGCACAGCTCATCTCTATCTATTCTGTCATTAATATGGAGAAATCCAGTTTTTGAATTTAGTTCGAAATACCTCTTATTTGCTCCAGATACTAGTTGAAATCCCCGATTGGTTATATCCTGTAAGTTCAGGTTTAAATCCTTTGCAAGGTTGCCGACTGTTGTTCCCGGGTTTGTCTCTTCCGACACCGTATATACAATGTGTCCCTCCGCAGTACTCCCAAAGCAAAATACCACATAAAAAAGGATCACTGAAAGACAATTATGAAGCGGAACTATTGCCATATTCCTTTAAGAACAAACAAGCACAATACTCATCAATATAAAAGTATTTTGGTCCAGGTTTCAGCTAATAGTCCACTACGATGCAGTGAAGGCGAAGAGCTGTGGAAGCGTCTGAACAAAGCAATCTCTCACTACAACAACAGCGAAAAATACAAGGCGGAGACACGAGAACGCAGAAGCACAGTTTAAATACGGACTGATGGTGACATCTAGAGGATAAAAGACTACTTTTAGATAGCTATAAGCGTTTCAATAAATCGCTGGACGTGAGCAGGGGAAAATATAAAATATATATTTATTTAAATACCAAACTAACAATAAATAAATAAATAAATAAATAAATAAATAAAAACAGACTTTAACTTTCATAGTATTTAAACATTTTATAAAATTAGACTTTATCTTAAGCTATAAAATCTAAGATTGTTACATGATTTTCAGAAAAAAAAATACCAGAGTAGATTATTATTAACACACTGTAAATCCCAAAAAGTTAAGGTAAGTCAAACCATTTGAGGATACCGACTGCAACAAACCATTTAAGTTCAAAGACAAATCCTAATGAGTACTGAGAATTTACTCCATTTGAGTAAACGAAGCAAATTGAGCACCAAAAAACAATAAATGAAGAGAACTCAAACCAACTTGAGTACTGTCAAACCCAGTAAGTTAAGACAACTCAAACCGTTTAAGGAAACCGATTGCAAAAAACAATTGAGTTAAAAAAGTACTCTATATGAGTACTGTGAACTTACTCCATTTAAGTTGAAGCAATGAGGTATTTATTAAAGCATTACCTTCAACACAGAGTATTCAGAGAAAAGGGTTCACAATAGCGTGAATGCAAACCACTGAAGGCTTCAGCACCACGGACAGCGTCACAGGGTTTCAACAAATGCAGTAAAAAGTAATGCAATTTTCTATACGTTTACATACCTTCTCTTTATTAGGCAGTGTTTGTGTTCTGGTGAAAGTGTCTCCTCCATTAATACTGATCAGTTCTGCATCTGCAGGCGGAAATGGCGCGGGGAAAACCACTACGTCACTCTTCAGTGTGTCTGAGCTAAAACACACATCATACTGCTGAGTAGATTTGGAGTAAGACCAGCTCCCGTCAGGGTGTGTGGTGATCATCGGGGCGCTGTACCTGCCCAAACTGCTGTCTGTCCTGTGGCATTTCACAGCTATCAAACTGATGAGGCTCAGTAAAAAGATGACGGACACACTCACAATGGCGATCAGCAAATAAAGATTTAAATCCGAGAAACTCTCCTCCTTTACTGGCGCATGTCTGAATGGAGTCTTGACGTCACCTCCGCTTTCAACAACCACAGCATCAATAGACACAGTCGCTGACAGTGAGGGCTCTCCGTTATCACAAACCAAAATGACCAGCGGGTGAGTTTTCAGGTCATTGTCACTCATTCTCCTCTTAGTCCTGATCTCCCCGCTGCTGGTTCCGATTCGGAACAGATTGTTTCCTTTGGGCTCAGAGATGTGGTAGGACAACAGCGCGTTGTAACCAGAATCTGCATCTACAGCCCTGATCTTGGCCACAAAGTAGCCCGCCTCAGCAGAATAGGGAATGTTCTCGGTGTTAACGGAACCGAGCTCGGAATAGGGCGCGAGAATCGCGGGACTGTTGTCATTCTCATCCAGGACAAACACATTTACAGTCACGTTACTGCTGAGCGGAGGAACACCAGAGTCTGTGGCCTGAACTTTAAACTCAAATGTTTTGATCTCCTCATAGTTAAACGACTGTAAACTGTGCAGATCTCCAGTGTCGGAGTTGATGTTGATCATGGATGTTACCGGGCCGCTTTTAGAGCTTTCTAGTAAAGAATATGTTATTCTGGCATTATCACCTACATCAGGATCAACAGCAGATACTGTATGAAGAACAGCTCCAATCTGACTGTTCTCTTTCACATACACATTAATGACGGGCTCTGGAAAGCGCGGCGCGTTGTCATTGACATCAGAAACGTGTACAGCAATGACACTGGTACTAGAGAGAGGCGGAGACCCTTCATCAGCAGCGCTGATTGTCACATTATACTCAGACGCAGTTTCTCGATCTAACTGACCATCTACAAGTAGATAATATTTATTCTTATACGTATTTTGTATACGAAAAGGTGCAGAACCGCGAATGTTAAGAACAACTGCGCCGTTTTTTCCCGCATCTCCATCTTTAACGGTAATCAGTCCAACCATTGTTCCAGCAGCAGCATCCTCTCTCACTGTTTCAGCAAGAGAGGTCACGGAAATTTCAGGTATATTATCATTAACATCAACGATTTCAATTAAAACCTTACAATGAGCAGCCCTTGGTTTCTGCCCTTTATCTTTAGCTTGGACTCGAATTTCCACAGCATTGCTGGTCTCGTAATCAATGTTCCCTTTAACAGAGATTACACCACTGACAGAATCTATGGTAAATGCGTTCACTCTATTATCTCCATCATGACTTATAAAGGAATAAATTATTTCTCCATTCAAACCCTCGTCTGCGTCGCTAGCTTGCACCGTGATAACAGACGTACCGACGGCCGCATTTTCCATTATTCTTGTTTTGTACAGAGATGTACTAAATACAGGAATATTATCATTCACATCTTCAACATTGATGATAATTTGCGTTGTTCCTGATTTTTGAGGTTTTCCTCCGTCTACTGCGGTCAGCGTAAGCTTGATCACCGGCTGTTTTTCTCGATCTAAAGCTTTCTGCAGCACTAATTCAGCAGACACACTCTGTTCTCCTCCGCTCTGTACATCCAGAGTAAAGTGCTCATTCGCACTCAGCTTGTAGCTCTTGACCGAATTACTGCCCACATCCGCGTCAAACGCATCCGGTAATGTAAACCTTTCACCAGGGAAAGCAGATTCTACAATATTTAGTTCTGTTTTTGATGATTTAAAAATAGGACCGTTATCATTGATATCTAAAACATTCACCTCCAATCGATACATGTTTAAAGGCGAGTTAACAATAGCTTCTATTTCCAGAGAGCATCTGCTGCTCCTTCCGCATAGCAGTTCCCTGTCTATTCTCTCTTTGACGAGGAGAACACCACTCTTTAAATTGACGTCGAAATACCTCTTATTTGGACCAGAAACGAGCTGAAACCCACGAAGCTGCAATTCATGAAGATTTAGGTTCAAATCCTTTGCTATAGGTCCCACTGTTGTTCCCGGATCAGCCTCCTCTGATATAGAGTACACAATCTGCCCATCGGTAATATTCCAAAGGGAAAGCGCTGCGATACAATACATCCACGACTTAAATCCTTGTTTCGACATTTTCACACCACTTTAAATAAATCCTTCGCATCCATTCGGTGGTATAAGCACACACCGTCTAATTCCTCATAGCGTCTGCAAAAATACAGACGGCAATGTGGCCTCTCGTGAACAAAAGCCCCACGTGATAAACTGAACCCTCCCTTGACTGAGGAGGAGCTTTAAATAGGCAAGGCAAAAGAAAATACCAGTCTCTAACGACACCACGCGGAAAAATCCAGG